AGGACGACGCGCTGCGGGACGAGCTGTAGGACAACGATCTGCAGGACAAGTTGCGGGACGAGCTGCAGGACGACGCGCTGCGGGACGAGCTGTAGGACAACGATCTGCAGGACAAGTTGCGGGACGAGCTGCAGGACGACGCGCTGCGGGACGAGCTGCAGGACAACGAGCTGCAGGACAAGCTGGATGAGCTGCAGGATGAGTTGCAGGATCCCAGATCTCCAGAATCATCAAGGACGGGGATTGAGGTAACCTTTCAGAACCAAACTGCTGCAAAGCAGACCTTTGGCAACACATTTCTCTTCAGTTTCAGAACTTATAGAGCCAGACTGGAGAGAAGGACTGCTTTGATGAACCACTGAGACTAAAGAAGTGAGAAAGTCCTCCTGAAAACTGACTGTGCCGTCAGTCCATCCAGATTACCATCCTGCCTTCAAAGATTATTTCTGCTATGGGAGCCATGGATGATTTTATCTTCATGTTTTTAACCAACAAACTATGGAAGAGGATTAGGGCCACTGAAAAAAAAAGTTAACTGACTTTTAAATATTATTTCTGTTTAATGTGGGGGAAAAGTCAGAATTCTGACTGAATTCTGACTTTAATCCCAGAATTCTGACAGCATCCAGCCGTAGCCGTGTCTGTTTCAGAGTCTAACTCTCTGTTTTAATCTCCTTCTGCTCTTCCATTAATCAAACAGCATCAGCTGGGACCCTCAGGGATGGAAAACTCTCCTAATTCCATCATTTTCCACCAATGTGTTCCTGTTTCTCCCAAACAGCTGAAGCTGAGTTCTCCACATCTCTGCCTCCATGGAGACCATCAGCATTAAGATCCACAATTCTCAGATTAAAGTCAGAATTCTGACTTTTTTCCACATTAAACTAAAATATTAAGTAAAGTTTTTTCAGTGGCCCTACTTCCCTTCCATAAGCAGCCCACTGAGGGGGGAGTGAAGGACTATAAACCCACTCGTGGCTGTAAACCCACTCGTGGCTGTAAACCCACTCGTGGCCGTAAACCCACTCGTGGGGAGTGTCTCGCTCACACCTGCTCGTCCTCCTGGATGGACGCAGCCAGCGGAAGTCCGTCCGCCACGCGCGCGATCATCGTCAGGTAGATCATCGCAGCGTCCAGCTGTGAAGCAGCTGCTGCTGTTTGGGGCGGAAGTGGTCGGTGCACCTCGGAATGAGGTCCGACTGGAAACAAACGGTGACGACGCATTCCAGAGGTTCGCTGCGGAGGTTTTCTGTCTGTAAAAGAAAAGAATCGATTCATTGAAGGATTCTATGGTTGCGGGAACATTTCTTTGGCCTTTGGTGTGACACGCTCCCTCGCGCTGTTTCGTCACAGTGACGGAGGGCTCGTGCGGTGGGAGCGGAGCTGAGCAGCAGATGCAGGACTGAGAGCAGAGGAAGGAGCCCTCAGCCATGGATTCACCAGAGAGGTAAAACTCCTCCATTCTTCATCTCCTTCCGCTGGAAGAACAGATCATTCCGCCTGTTTCCATGGATTAATGAATCCCTTCATCCTAAAACCAGCCGCCTGGCTGCAGGTTCTAACCTTCCTCACCACCTGAGATCACGCACTGACTCACATTATTGATACTTTTCATGCGTGGATTAAACCCCGCAGCCTGCATGGGGAGGGAGGGATGGATGGATGGATGGATGGATGGACGGATGGATGGATGGATGGATGGATGGATGGATGGATGGATGGATGGATGGATGGATGGACGGATGGATGGATGGATGGATGGATGGATGGATGGATGGATGGATGGATGGATGGATGGATGCATCAGACCTCCTGTGCAGCATGAGGAGGTTTATCCTTCCATCCCTGCAGCCTGATGCTCCATCCATCCTGATCCTCCTGCAGCTCAGAGGCCTGATTGTTGCAGCTCCTGGTGAATCACTGCCAGCTCTCTACTCTCCACTCAGGAACCCAGACTGGGCTTTAAATCCCAGGGTGGGGCACTTCATGACTAATTGATTATATAAAAAAATAGATTTTATTGCCATGCTGCTGTCTGGGAAAAACATGACTTCAACTATTTTAATGTTGTGTTTTTGCCATTTCAGCTCAGGGAATAAATGTCCCAGAGAACAATGATCATGTCTGCTGATATAAGGCTGTGATTGATGCTTTTTCATCAAACTTTATTGACAATTATTTAGGAAGTAAAATCAAATGCAATGGAGACAGAAAGGAAGGAGAGAAATAAAGAGGGGATGAGAATGAAGCAGAGGGAGAGAAAGAGTGCAGGAAGAAATTCAGCTAAAATAGACACAGAAAATCTACAGTAACTCCTAGAAATCTGCTTCCACTAATGGATGAAACCAGAGGAACAGAAAACAGAGAATATTACAGCTAAAAGAAGACAACAGAAAACCTAAATAAAGATAAAAAAAAATATATTTCAGATCAGAAGGTTTCCCTTAGATCTCCATGTAAGGAAAGCTAAACCTGAGATGATTCCACAATATTGATCAAGGTGGGCAGGGGCGGATTTAGGAAATCTGGGGCCTTAGGCAGAGACAGGCAGGGGCCCCTCTGAATGGAGAAGCCAACACATAAAACATAAAAAAGATTTTTTCCAAGCACTAAGCTCACTTAGCTGATTGCTCCTTCCTGTGTTTCCAAAAAGGCCAAAGTAAATAACCCAGTCC